TGTAGCGCTCTTTTTTCCTTTTCTACACATCTATTTCTATCCCTGTTAACGTATACAACACTATGAATGCCCTCCAGGACAGACTGTCTGAAAATGAGTACCCCCATGTTTCAACGATATCACGTCTCCCCACCTTCAATGACAGCTGGCCTTTCCCTTCACTTTCGAGTATGGCAGTTCAGATCAGCTATAAACCCTTTTGACTTTGTACAAACCAGTTCCACTTCAGTCAACCAGTCCACCAGTCAATATGGTTAAGGCTAAATAAACATTAGTCATTAAGTCATGACTATCCATTTCAGCTGTTATGAAACAACAGTACTATGACTATGATGTCTCCCACTGTGTTGAGGACTTGAGGCGGAATGATCTAAAGCTTCGTCACCAGAAGCTTTTGTCAAGTATATGTTGAGTGCAACTGCTGTGCCTAATTAGTACAATTAGAAGTGATATGAATCTGTATTTGTATCTGTGTTTAGTTACATTTTCCAAACATTTGCATCTGAACAACAAATGTTCGCGTACATGAATGTGTTTGACCCAGCCACACACCTTCACTACCTGATGATGTAATCTGTCTCAAAGAGGGCATCAGATTCCCTGTCTAACATGATGTAACTATCCCCAAGACTCTTGTTTCCTGTCTTCTACTTCTTGCGAGTAGAGGAGTAGCGTCAGAGAAAGCCAAACACATTCTGACACAACACCTTCCTCAAGCATTTGATTTCCTGGATAGAATTTAAAAGAACATGCAATTCATTTTACAGACAAACATAGACAATGCTCCTTAAACAGATTATGTTATAGAATTTGAACTTAAAGCAGCCGTTATTGAGTTTACACTCTATACTGCATATAGAACCCGATTAAACCTTTCTGTACCATGTAAATCAACGCACTTGCCACTTTTAAGTATTATCAGTACAGAACATTGGCAGATTTGTTTTCTTTATTGTCTTGGGCTGACTTCGCCAAACATGGCTAAGTGAAAGTGCCCTCCAAAGTAACGTTAAAAATGGGGAGAGGCACTCTCCAAAGTGCTACTTTCTGAAAGAGCTTATTGTCTTCTCATGTGTTATAAATTATTAACTACTTGACCTACATTCTCTGTCTTAGTGGGGTTGGTAGAGCACTGGAACAGAAAACAGTGACACTGCAGAGTTGTTTTGATTCCTCTCAAACGTCACATCGTAAATTAAAAGTGATGGTGCTGCAGCGAGCTTTGTCCAGTCCACAGGGACAGCTTCACTTGCACCGCAGAGAAATAAACACATTTTAATTAGATCCAGGACTTTTTAGCAAACTGTGACAAATTTAGAAATGAATCAGTATGCACTATGCAAACTAATCATCTCTAGCCATCTTAAAAGCCATAAAAACACAACACAAATAGAATGGTACTTGACAAGCGTATACATGCCAATTTAAAGACCTGCATGTGACAGTAACTTTTATTTACAATTACTCCATTGTTTATTTTTTGGTTCTTTTTGTGATATTCATCGGTATGTTTTCATTATCATTATAATCACCTGACAACAAGAATTGTGCTTTTGTTACTTTTAAATGAGCTATTTAAATCTACAGAGGGATTGAGTTCTCTTCCCCTGGAGTACACCATGTTGAACCACCATGTTTCTACAGTAGCCCATAACGGACAAACCAAACACCGGCTCTAGATAGGGCCTTTCATGTCTTTTGTGTTTTTCCTGCTTGCTTTAAAGGTAAGCAGAATTCAGTTGGTTGCATTTTGCAACTTCAGTCCTACACACTGTTTCTTCAAATGAAACCATCTGAGCGGAAATGCTTTTGTGGTAAAGTTGCAAATAACTTATAGACATCTGAAGGGCCCCAACCAAACATTTTTTCTTTTTGTGAAGCATCACAACCAGAAACATGCTAATATTGTGTATTTTATAAGCTCATTGTATGTTTTTTAGGTAAAATATCAAAATGAAACCACTTAAGTAAAATATCTCAAAATTGCATTTAAGTACGGTACTTGAGTCTAAATGTATTTAGTAACTTTCCACCACTGAACCCTATCTGACTATATCCTACTGTGCTCTGTGAGGCAGAGCGCTATCATCACTGTCTTCAAGGAGAAAGTATTTCAAAGTATTGTATTTCAGCCACAGTACAGAGCTGTATAGGATGTTTTGGCTGCTGTTGCAAAATCTGATCTGACCTTGAGTGTTTAGAAGCGCAGGTTTTCTCCCTAATTCTGGCAGACATATTAGTTATAGAAGCCTCAGTGGATAGGGACATGACTCATAATTTATTTTTCAGTGCCACAAGTCAGTGAATCACAATTGAATGAGTTGTCAGCGGACTGAACTGCTCAAGTCACGAATTGTATTGATGCTTTATTTTACGCTTTTTGCATGTCTGAAGCAATGAGAAAAGAAACGAAAAGCTTTGAAAAATTAGATTGTACTGCTTAAATGGCATGCATTACACTATCTCTGATATCTTATAGTAACAGTGATCATAAGAGGTGATCTTTTTTGTGTGATATAAATAGGAATCTGTGAAATTGTTTGATGAAAATAATAAAGTGCAATCATAATTTGGCAATTTCATGGTTTTATGGAGAGGATAAAGTATCTTTCTCCATAACTATTATATCTAACAAAGACACACTATTAAAATATTCATCTGTGATAGCCTGGATAAGACAAAGACAAGAAAGGGATGAAAAAATGAATAAAACTAGAAAAAAAAACATTCAGCTCTGGAACAAACTGTGCATCCGCAGGCATCTTCAGCACCCGCCTTCCTCTTTTACTGCTTTAAAAAATGGATCTCAAGAGATGCATGAATGAAACTGTACAGGGGGATACACTGAGAGGATGGCTGTCTTATAGCTGTGCTCACTGTATATCATTATATACATTATATTTCAAGCTTTGAAGTGGATGGCAATATCTTTACACCTGTCGGTCAGCGGTCAGCAACAACATCAGAGCAAGAAGGACAACTTGTACAAGACATTTCTTGAGCTTAAAGGGCACAAATAGAGCTGTTTTTGTAAAGGGGAGGGGGGCCCTCAAGTAGCCTGGTGAGAGAAGAATAACAGCTGTGATCAAAGAGCTCACACCTCAGCTGATTTGGCCCTATCCATTGCACAAATGTTGCACTAAAATTTGTAAAATATCAGAAGAGAGAGACCCTGGGATTCAATTGTGCAAAACAGGACTTTGCTGTTTCACATGTGTCTATTTTTGGGTCCTTAACATGGGAAAATATGAGAAGTCGCTGCAGAACAACAACAACGCTCTGCATGTGGCTCTTCCTGTCTTTTTAATCTGTGCTATCAATGTCAGTACATATAAATATTGGCTGGCAAACACAACGTGACACATACAAATCCACTTCTATAAATCTCAGAAGAGGAACAGGAGACACTTTCAGGTCCAACAAGCACAACATGTGGAAAATGTTAATAAAACGTCCTGTAATGGTTGTCAGAGATGAATAACCTGATCTAGGTAGGTATGCAGGAGTGCCACGGGCGCATACCAATCATACCTGCATGGGAACACACACACACTCACGCACTGGACTACAATGGAAAAGCCTTTGAGGGAAGAGAGCCAGTCCCGATGCATGCATGTGACACCCTCTCCTCCCTCCCTCCCTCCCTTCCTCCCCTCCAACATACCTCTCATTGGATTCTGGATCCACAAGATGCCTCCGATAAGGTGAGGAGATTGGCCGAGCATCCCGAGTGACTGACTGTCACTGTCACTTTTAATGTCCGGAGCACCTTCACTCACTGTTAACTGACAATCACGGGGAGAAGCGGGTGACTTCACCCGGTCCACATGTCACACCACCTGCTGCCAGATGAGCAGCCTCGACCAGTCTGGTTCTTGTGGAACAGGCTGAGCGCACACACAGCGCTCTGTTGCGCCACAACACAGAACAGCCTGGTGGATCTTATTCTCTAAAAGATTTATTTCTTAGGAGAAAACAAAAACAAAAAAAGAGTCCCTGGTGTAAAATCTCAGCACCTGCGGGGCTCTGGTATCCTCCAGAGGACACTGGGGTGATGATTATGCAAAAGAACAAGACGCTCCTCGGTCGCAGACCTGTTAACCAGCGTTGTCTCCAATCGCAGAGCTTACGACCAGGCGCGCGCGCACACACACACACACACACACACACACACACAGCAGCAGCAATATAAATACACAGAGAGAAGCTGCGCGTTAAAACGAGTCTTAATCTTAGGGTTAGTCTTATGGTGTAAGCAGCAAGACAGTGAATGGCAGCGGTTTGTACAATGTAATAATAGAAGATGACCAGGACAGTGTACGTAATGCGGAGAGAGCAGAGGCTGCAACATCACCCAATCACAGGCTTTCACAGTTGACCCGACTGTGTCTGGGTTGAGCCATTCACATCACACAGCTCCAATCATCAACTATATCTTAGTATCTTTAAAAGGAGACAAAAACAAAAACCGGCAATGCATCGTGGACAGCGCAGGGTGAAGCGCCTTACCTTCGACAGCCATTGTGCTACTCCACAGATTTGGGCATCACTCGCAAGGGAGCAGGCGAAATGTAAAAGTCAACGCTCTCTCATTGTACCTTGTTTGGCGTGTGTTATCATCACTTTGCTGCGGGCAAGCCGGAGCGCACAGCTGCTGCCGCGCCTCAAAGGATCCTGGGAAGTGTAGGCTCAGCAGCAAACGCTTTCTGGAATATGAGGGAAGGGCAAGTTTCATCAGTTTTGCAGAGAAGGCAATTTGAAAGCACCCCCCTTTCCCCCACACACTCAGGGAGAGCCTAATGCCCTGATGGAAAATCACTATATAAAGCTCACACATAGTTCTATAGGTAAGGTTATACAACAACTCAAAATGCTTTAAATTAAAATACATAGAAAAACAATTTATAAAAGAAATGTAATAAACTAATGACAAGAAAATGCAACAAAACCACACACAAACACATGGTAAATAACCAGAGAAAAATAAATTTCTTACGCACGCAGTTACAATGATCATCAGTCAGTATTTTTCAGGGAACATGGACCAAATGCACCCTCACCAGATCTGAATCACAGGTTAAGTCTGAAAACCCACCAGGAATTGTTCCAAATTCATTCAACTCATTGTCTGTTCAGCAGCTGTTTAGCTGAGCTTAGCACAAAGACTGTAAACAGGGGGAAACAGCTAGTCTGGCTCTGTTCGAAGACAACAACATTCACCCACCAGCATGTCTAAAGCTCAATTAACACTTTATATGTCATTTGTTTAATTGTGAGTGTAAAAATGACAAGAAGTGGTTTTAAGGGCGGCTGTGGCTCAGAGGCAGAGCAGGTCATCTGCTAATCGGGAGGTTGTTGTTTCGATCCCCGGCTCCTCCCACCACATGTCGAAGTATCCTTGAGCAAGATACTGAACTCCAAAGTGCTCCTGCTGTGCATCAGAGTGAATGTGTGTGAAAGGGTGAATGTGGCACGTAGTGTACATAGTGTAAAAGTGCTTTGAGTGGTCGGAAGACTAGAAATGCTCTATACAAGTACAGGTCTATTTACCATTTACCAGGCCAGAGAGAACAGAGATTACAGTGGTTTCAATCTTCTCCTGTAACTTTCAGCAAGAAGAATGTAAAACTATTCCTTCAAAATACATAGGCTACAAGATGATAAATCATCAAGATGATAAATGAAATACAAAAAATAACCTGCATCCACCCCACAGACACAAAACACAAATCCAGGTATATCGCACTGTAAGTTAAGCTTACAAGGTCTGTTTGATCCTTAGTAGCATTGTTTAAGCATTCAGTGAGTTTTTCTGTCAAACTGTTTATTTCTGTCCATTAGAATCTGGGCATGTTTGCAGCGATTACGCACAATATGGTTGTCACACTGTAGTATTCTCTGAAATTAATCCTTTATATCTGAGTTTTATTTATTATTTATTATTTATTTATTCATTTATTTAACCTTTATTTATACTGTACAGAGTAGGCAGGCTGAGTACAAATACTCATTTACAACAACAGTTAAATTACTAGTCTGGGGTAGGTTGCTAGCCAGCCAACTGTGCTGTGATAGTCTAGCAGTTCAGTCTAACCCCTCACTGGGTTAAGGTTGAAATAAAAGTGAAAACAATGCTGGCTGCTTCTGTTTCTCTCCACAGGGCAGAATGTAAAGCTGTAAAACCTGTATGCCTCACGTCTGTAGATTCATTTGTGCATATTAATTCTTTTGGTGCAAGTGATAAAGCAGTAGCTTATTTTTAGAATGACTGTGTCTAAATGCCATAATTATCGGGTCTTCAAACTTACAGCTACAGTAAAGACCTGTAAACCTCCTTTGGTATGCTAATTAAACAGAGCATTTTCAACATGACACACCTACTCTCTGAAGAAAGTAGACAGTAGCTTTTGTAGTGGGTTGTTACTTACTGAATGTGTTGATTGAACAAGCAACTTTTCTTGTAATGTAGTAATACATATGGGTTGTATCAAAAACAACCACTGACCCTGATCATGAGTTCATTTCATTGGAATGTAAGTGAGCAAAAGGAGGAAGTCTGCATAGTTAGTTAACAGCAATATCTTCAAGGGAAGATACACTACAGGTATTGCAAGTTGGACAGATAAACAAAGCCACAGGGCCCAGCCTACTTGTTTGGCTATCTGTCTGCCTCACATGTGTTTCACTTTTTTCGATTGTTCATTACTGTTAGGCTGGACTGATAAGCAAGTAATGTATGTAACGTATGAGGAAGTCTGTCTGTCTGTCGTTTTCAGCATATTTCTTGTGTGGTAAGTAACATACTTTAGCGCGCACAGGTGTGGTCACTGTCTTCTTCCTGGTTTCTTCTTTTGTTTTAAGGTCTGCTCAGCCTAAGGGGTTTCCCTGACATGTTCTTTGTCTTCCTGTCCGTAATGATGAGTTTCTGAAAAGAACTGTATTTTCAGGTGTACTGTGTGCAGTAAGTCAAGTACAATTGTTTTACAGTTTCACAGCTATCGTGCATCTACAACTGTAATAGCAGAACATTGCTGTTTAATGCTCTATAAACTCTCCCTTTATGTAGAAATAATTGACTGTATCTTTTTTCTCAAATCTAACATGGTTGCCACAGAAAATAAATGTTCTGTTTTACTATTTAGCTATACATTTGTTGACAATTAGGTTGTTTTTTGTGTTTGTCTGACGGCAGACATTGACCTGTCCAATATCAACCTATTGTGCTGTCACACAGTCACTTTAACTTATTGATCAGGATAATTACAAGGAACAAATCTTACAAATCTCTTATCACCTATTTTTTTAGGGGAAAATAAATAAAGATTAATAATTTAAAAAACAACAACACAAGAAATCAAGGTACAGGAATGGACCTAAAAGGGTACAAATGCTTTGTCACTCCAGCTGTACCCTAGCACGGTACAAGCACTGTACCTTTGAACAATTTTCCTACCTTCTTTTCTGTACCTCTAAAAGAACATTTGGAAATTTACTAGTAGCCTATTTAATTTCAATAAACCCAATTCTCTATTTAAATCAAGATTTTGTGATCACTGATTTGCTGTAACATTGTTCTGTACCGTGATTTCTTGGTACCAGGTGCATTGACTTCCTGATGTTTCTGTCTGTTGCCTGGACTTCAACAACATGAACCCAGACAAGACATAGCTGTGATATTTATGATAACTGCACATACCTCCCCATAAAACTGCAACTTGTTGCCAGGCTAGCTTTCCCACTGCCTCCAGTCTTTCTGCTGAGCTGAGCTAATTATCTCCTGGCTTCAGTTGCATGGGCAGATATGAAAAGTGAGTACTGTATTTCCCAAAATGTCCAACTATTTCCTTGAAGGAGTAAAGACAAGCCAAGTTAAAGCCTCTGAAAGACTTGCTAGTGTTTCCTGGTGTGATGCAGCTAGCCTGCATGTATCCAAAGTATATAATGTATAGTCAGTATTATAGAACACATTGATGACGTGACCAGTTTTGATGTGCAAAAGATTCATTTGTATTAAACATTTTATTTCTTACATATTTCAATCAAGGACAAGAGCATGATGTGTACAAATGTAAAGGTAAAATTAAGAAAAAAAAACTGATTCAGATCAAAGTTGAATATCATAAGCCAGTTACATGGTGCATGTGTTTGTGAAAGCATTTTCCTCTGTATAATATATGTTCATACATAAACAAAAATCAAGAAGAAAAGGGGAAAGGTAAGCTAAGGTTCTAATGCAGTATAAGTAACTATATAATGCCCTGTGTTACTTTGTGTGGGTGCTCAGATATGTGGATTAAAACCTTGCCTCAGAACAAAAGGTTCTGGAAAGAATAGTCAAGTTCTCTCAACCCATGCAATAAACAACAAACAATTTAACTAAGAGAGATGATTATGGCAAAAATGCATTTCAGACCAGCAGCTCAGCAGAAGGTTAAATTTTCTGACATCTAAATGTTGAAAAATGAATAAAATCCACCACCGAACTGAAATCAGTTCATTGCAGTGTCATTAGCAGATTGGTAAAAGATAGCCCAGTGTGCTCCAATGGAGGTAAGCCCTCCATGGAACCGGCCGCTGATGAAACGCAGCTCAGCCTTGCTGTTGGTGGCATACATGTTGAAGGAGTGACCTGTAGGCTGGCCCACATACAGTGAGCGGCCCCTGTTAGTGATTAACACCAGCGACTGCACATAGTGAGCATACTTCCCAGAAATCTGGATGATGGCTTCATTGTCAAATAATTCAATCTCCTTGGGCTCGCCACTTACGTATCCAGCAACGGAGGACCAGACAAAGCCGTAGCGAAACTGGATGCTGAGGAATGTAAAAAACAAATGTATCACAAGGAGGAAGTGATCTGTCATACTCATTTAATTCATATGACACTTATACAAAGAGTAGATTACAGCCGAAGGAGTAACAACAGTTAGCATGAGTCAAATTTTCAAATACACCGTCTCATGGTATAAAGTGAAAATCTTGTTGTCTTGTTCTTGTTTAATAGCCATTGTTTTAACCTAGACATCCTCTCTTAATTAATTCTATATCAATGAATCCCATGAAAAGACCACAGCTGTTTCAGTCATTTACTGAAGCTTTTTTTCAGTGTTGAAGCTATCTAAAATATTTGTGACACACTTTTTTTAAAGATTTACTTCATTTAGGAAGAAAATGACAAGGAAAGTGAAAAATATTGTGTTTTTTGAAAAATGTTAATAAATGTTGTGTCTCAACCTTTTTTCTGTATTAACCCTAACCTTAACCCTATTATTACAATCTTTCATTAAACTAAACCAAGCACTAAACATAACCACAACATTTTTTATTTATGCTGTTGTCACTAGATATTTTAACGGAATACAAATGAAATACGTTGTCAGTTAACATTTTGCTGATATGTTCAATGTCAGCATTTTTGCAACTTAAAATACTTAATCTGGTCTACATCCCTCAAAATGTTTTTGTTTTGCAAAGAAGTATCTGTATAGGTTTGTATATGTATATACATGTCATTTCTACGGTTGCATTATATACATCTATTCAATATGTGTGTGATGAAAACTGTAAAACAAGATTAAATATGTTTGATATTCACCCATAGATATGGCCGTTGTAGACCTCCCACACCCGGACAGCTGTGAGTCTTTCCTCTCCAGTGATACTGTAAGGGCTGCCAGATCCAGACCCCACCGGTGGGGAGAAGGAGTACTGAGGTTGAACTGCAAAGACAAGAGATGAAAACATGAGTGAATTTGTTAAAACTGCCAGTTTGTTTTCTGGTACTGAAGCTTAATAAAATAATATATATAAAAATTTTATATTTACAATTCCTCAATTGACAGTATGCCTGACAATAAATGTGCAAGCATATTTGAGCATCTGCAAAAGAGCTAATTTGCTATATGCATACTATCTTTCAACGGACCGTTAAACTTTACTTTAAACATTTGACTGATAAATGTAACATGCACACTTACCATCAGCCAAGACAGAAACTGTGAGCAGAGCGAAAAGGAGAATGTGATGCATTCTGTGAAACAAATTGATGAATGAATTATTTAACAATTAATTTTTCCACCCTCAGCAATGAGCGATTATTGCAGACAGTGTGGATCTTGGAGAAAATAAACAAAAAGATTTCTTACCTGTCTTTTTTTATGTCTTGCACAATGATCAAGAGATACCTGTAAACGTTAAAATAAAAAATATTTTTGTATAATTGATGATAATCCAAAAAGTATCTATTAAATGATAGCAATAGACAGCAGAGAGTCAAAACAATCACATTATTACTCACACACAAATCAAGTGTTGAGCGTGCAATGATGATGTCAAGGCTTCAACATCCGTCTGTGTAGCTTCACGTCTTTTATACTTTCTATTCCTTATGCACGTGTTATATCACTGTGATGCATTCATGAGCAGTTTTAATGGGTTTTCCCACATGCATATTTATATACTTGTTTTGATCAAGGAAACAAGTTGTGCTTTATCGTTGTAACAGCAAACACCAAAAATGTTTTTATAATTTATCAGAAAAAAATGTGATGCAATCATTTGATCACAATGAGGTATGTGCTACTACTTGCTAGGTTACCAGAAACCTATTACATGATGCATATTTTCAAGTTATTTTGACTTTTATTTTAAAGTTATAGTATGCTTACAAAAACTGGAATGCGGGAGGATATGTCAAAAATACATTGAGAAATTCTGTGGATCAAATGAAAAAATATTGTGTGTGTGATACCCGGTTGGAAAAAGTAAGCACCAAAATGAAAAATAAATAATCCTAATTTATGAAGCAGAAATGAGAAAAATATTATTTAATTGAATTAAAGCATTTTGTTTGTAACAAACAAGCTATGATCAACAGTTCCTGCTGAAATAAGCTTCTGAAATAACAAAATTGTCCCACAAATGGGAGGTAACAGCAACAAAAAAGCTTCCAAGAAAGTCTCTGAACAATAATAATAACAAAAATACCATTACCTGACATTTGTTGGTTGTGGTCATGCTATCTATGTTCTCTTTATAAGCCTTGGCCTACAGACTTTAGTAATGGATGCACTGGAATTAGCCAGTGAATGTGTTTTGTACTCACAGAAATATATACATGCATATAGAGCAGTCATTCCCAACCTTTTTCCCCTGACTAAGTGACATATATTTTTTTCATATTCTATATTCTATATATTCTGTAATATACAATTGCCTGTCTGTATTTAATTTGTAACCATTCATACTTCTTAGGCTTCTTCTTCTTTTTAAAAGAACAAAACAAATTCACTGGTTTCTTCTTCCTGATGCTTAGCCATCATTCTATTAGCTGTTTGGTTGTTTTTACTTTTTTATTACAGGACAAGGCTGTATAGCAAAGAGCAAAGGTTCTGTGAATATAGCTTGTGTTTAGTTCTTCACTGTGCCCTTATCTTGTGAGAAGTTTACATCTTAAATAACAATCTATTTTTTTGTGACTGATTTTGCTCACTGGTTTAATAGGAAGTCTGCTTTTTACTTTGATGTGACGTATGCAACTTTACCAGCTTAAGTGATTTTATAGATGATAAATGTTACCCAACCCAACCCAAGAGTTGACCTTATGTCCTTGAATTACTTTTCCTTGTCCTGTTTCTGCCAGAGCTCCAGTACATGAAACGGTATTTACTATAAATGCAAAATTCCCCCTTAACTGGTTTCCAGGAAGAGTCCTCACAAAAACAGTGACAAAAGAAGTCCTCAGTTCCTGCCAGGAGTGAAAAAGCGCATTAGTAATTGTGCTTCAGTATTTGAATGTTTTTGTGAGGACTGTTCCTGGAAACCAGTTGAGGGAAATGCAATAAATACACGTCATACTCATATACTCTCATGTTATGTCATTTTAGATGAACCTCTGGCAGAAAAGTGTTGAGGAAAAGTCTAAATTCACCACAGTGAAGTGGTTTTCTAGTGACAGGTACAATAAAAACACACACACACACAAAAAAAAAATAGGTTGGTAATAATTTATAGGCACATCTGTATAGAAAACAGCTTATACTTTTCATGGAGTTGTCAGGAATGGCAGTGTTCACTTTTACCATGATTTCCCTGTGTAAAAGAGTCTGCTCCATCTTCCCGGGAGGACCAGAGTACCTGCTCAGCAACCACTAAAGCGAACCACTTTAAACAGTTCTAATGGTGGAACAAGTTATTGTTTTCACATTGGCATTTGATATTGATTGGACGTACTTTTACTATGAAAGATTAAGTTACCAGGCTGATAGTTGACACTGACAGTGTTACAAAGCATTTAGCTTAATTTAAGATCCTTAATAATTATTTTCTAGTTGTATCTCTGGCACTACTGAGACAAATCTAACAACAAAGACTACAATTAAGCACAGACATCAGATAGCATATACTAGCATATACCTATTCTAATCTATTGTGTACTAGATAATGGAATGGTATTCAATTGTTACGTTGCAAAGGAAGAGCCTTTCTGAAATAATGACTGGAAATTACTGAAAACAATTGTGCTAAAATTCTGCATTTTTTTCCCTAAGTGCCGTGATCTGCAAACACCAGTCAGTACATACTGCTTTGTTAACGTAATAATGTAAAGAAATAATGCATTTTAAACATCTAAACTGTACAATGAAATAATTTTCTACAAAAAAGTATGAATTCATTTAAACTTAATTTCTTTAATTATTATTAGTTATTTCTGGAGCAAATACAGCTAAAGAGGATCTACCAGATATAAATAAATCACAGTTATAGCTTAAAGCAATACCAGAATCTTTCACAGAATAATTTTATAAATAATAGATGTTTCCCTTACAAACCGATTGATTGATTGATTGAGTAATTGATTGAATACTCTAGATGTGAGATATAAGTTCATGATCTTTGTGAAATGCATTTTCCAGCTAATCCAAGAGGGTTTTAAATGGTTTATTTAGCTTAAGAAGTTGGAGAACTTTATCAGCCCATAAAAGGAACACTTAATCCTTCAGTCTATCAAAATCATCAAATTTGGAGGTACGTGGTTTACACTGGACAAGAAGTCATCTGAAAAGTAACTAGGAACTAAAGCAGACAAATGTACTGAAGTAATATTTGCCTCTGAGATGTAGTGGAGTAGAAGTACCTCAAACAGCATGTTCAATTTGTCTTATTTGTCACACACTAAAACAGACGGCTAACATTGTAACTAACCGTATGATACAAACTGCAACAAATCACTCAGTAACTGGAAGTGAAAAAGAAAGTTTTACTTATTCCCCCAAACATTCATAGTCACCCTTTACATTAATCATAACAGGCTCAGTCTAACAGGCTGTGAGATTTAAAAGTGCTGTGGTCTGCTCTGTTCCTCTGCATTGTACCTGGCGCAGTATAATGAATGCTGAGCTGAGTTCTTCAGGCGATAAAACCCAATCCACGTTTGAATTACTGTGCTACACTATATTGCAAAGCTGCTGCATGGTTATTTGGTACATTAACACATAATCAAGTATCTCATTAATATAAGCCATAAAGAACGTGCTAAAGAGACACATATGAGAATCTGCAAGCAACTCTTAAGCAGCCAAAGGCTAGAACGTTATCTTGCCAGAGCTCTTGAAATAAAAGTTTAAAGTCTTAGCGGATTTCTCAAAGCATGTGCACGACACACCTCAAATACCCACAACACTGACAGAAAGTGTCTTCAAGTATCCACGAAAATAGCAGCAAAATATTCTTCAGATAATCCACACAGACTCATCCTCCAAGCTTTGTAGTCTCCAAATTCCTTTGATATTGTTCTTAAAGTGTCCACTGAATAGACCTAGGTCAAATTAAATCCTCCTCTTAGCCCTGCTTGATGACTGATGTTAGGTTCCAGGTTCCATTGTGCAAGCCAACTAGCTGTAAGAGGATTTCCAGTACAACTTTGACCCAGGTGTTAACATCACACCAGCAGAGTAATGATTACTCCATCATCCTGGCCTTGCCATAGCATCTCCCCTTCAAACGCCACCTTCCCATGTTTCCTGGCTCTCATCAGAATACCCACCACCTTATCAGAGATCCGAACGTATCTGTCAAACAGCTGTCCAAACGTGACCCGGGTCTTTCCGTCTGGGTCTGGATCGGCCATAGTTCTGATCACGTAACACATGTCATCTATCTCACGGTGTATGTGTTGCTCTGCGCGTTTGGCTCTTTCCGCTGTTTGGGTACCCTCCTTGGGGCGTCCATAACCCTCCTGACCCTTTTGGAGGCGGAGGGACATGGAGTAATCATAGTCAAAATATTCACTGAAGGGGTTTAGTTTTTGGTTCACTGTGTGTTCTGAGGCCCAGTTCTGCCAGCGGCTCTTGAGGTTTCCCACAGCGCTGTATTTCTTGGAGAGGGCGTTGATCTTGTTGGCATCCTCAGTATCCTTTTTGTACCTAGGAGGAATGTCAGATCACATTACAATTAAATAAAAAATACAGCGCACAGATACTGAATATCTGTTTTGATCCTGCAAGGAGAGCTGCAAACATTCAACAGCAAGAAGTTGTTGCTTTTTTTGTGTGTTAGTCTTAAGGGTAAATGCAGCCCTAATAGACAGTTTCCTGAGTGACGTGATCAAGAGATGTGTGTGTAGAAAACAAACCAGAATAACTGAGAGCATTATCAACACGAACATTTGTTTAACTGCCTCACAACAGTGGAAAAGCTCATTATACCAAGGAAAACCTCCCTGTTGGTTAGCATTTAGTGATCCATGGTTTTGCACAGGAACTGGTGAGGAAGAAAAAGGTATAAGTCAAGACAGCTCACACTGTTATTATGGCCCTGTTTACACCTGGCCTTAACATGCTTCTTGAGTTATCACGGTACAGGTGTGAAAGCACCCAAGACACACTGAAGATACTACAAATGTATCCTGGGCCACACTGAAGTACGGCCTACTCAAATGACATTGTCTGTGTAAGCAGAAGTACGTTCTAATTTGTGCGCCACTGCGGTCATATTAAAGTGCGACACAACAAGAAGAAACCAACAGGCAAAAATGAATTCTCATGGATGGAGCAGGAACACACTGACCACAGCTGCTCTACTTGAACTAATGGTGGAGGTGGAGTTTCCTGATGGACAGATAGCTTTACTTGTGGCTAAAGTAACAGCTAATTGTCATAAGCTAGTTTGCTCAGTTAGCTGTGCTGCTAATGGCTCTATTAAAAGCTGACTTTGGAGTGTTGGTGTTTTCACTGCCAGTGTAGTGGGTTGGAAACGGCATATGTTATGTTTTGTTAATAATTGACTCATTCTAACATTTTTAGTCTTTACATTAAGGTAGTACACTATGACGTCAGTAGATGGTGCTCTAGTGCTGCTGTGGATCCATTAGGGAGACTGTAGCTACAAGCTCTGCTCATGTGCAGCTCAGAAATGTTGTGGAAAGGCTTTGTGTATGTTATACTAGTGTTGAATGCGTGTTAGCATGATTGTATATGTGTTAATATATGAGTGAATGTAGGTAATAGAGTAAAGTGAATGTGTGTTTTGAGTGTTAATATTTTGATACATATTAGTATTTTGAGTTTAGCCAATTTATGTCTATTTGCAATATATGTTATCTCATTTTTATTTTTTTCCTTTAGACAGAATGTTTTATATAATTTATTGTAGTTTGATTACACCATTTATTGTTTATTTTTGTGAAACATTTTAGTGTTAATTTGACAAGCATTTTAATCAGAAAGTTTAGAGAAAAAGTGACTGGAAATTGTCTGCAATTGTGTTTAAAATAAACAAGGACGCTAACTTTGGTCCGCTCTCTATCAATCCACAGAACTGTTTATATATTGGCTACACAGTGCTCCCTCGCTGGTCCAGATTTCCCCCAGGTCTGGTGCCTGTAACATTAGCACAGGAGCTGGACTACAGAGAGGAGGAGCTTTAATAAAGCTAATAAAGCTTTATTTAAACGTTTGAGCTAAGAGGACTGCTGAAACCAAAACCAAACCAAGATAGATTTTGAAATACACTATTAAACTGTGTTGTCATGATATAGGTCTTTGGGGGTTTTTGTGGAAACTGCTACTTTCTGGAAAAACTCCCCTAATCCATGACCTCATGGCACCCAAGTAGATCTTCAGTCAGTACAAATATTCAAACAATTCTGGCTTTCTGTTAATCCTGTCAAATTAAGCTGCGTTTCTCTCCACAACTAACACTGGTTTATACTTCATTAATCCCCTGACTATCAAATACCACGCCACATTATCCTGTTTCAAAGCATTAAGGAAGTAAAGATATTATTTCACCTGACATGTAAGAGTTGAGTCACTGTTTCTTACTTTTGTAGTCTTTCAGAATTTTAAACCCCTGTTTTATTTAGAAACAACTTCCTCTCTCTCTTTACGTGACTTGTACTCACGCTGGGACTGTGGGTCGTTTAATCTTTACTGCTGACTCAGAGTCTCCTTCAAGGTCTTCTTTTAAAGAGCTTCTCCCGTGTGTTTCAGCATCCTTTATGTCCACACTCTCCCTCTCTGCCTCAGGGTGTCCAATGTTGTCTTTATCACTACCCCAAGGGTGTCCCTCTCCTGGTCCTCCCTCTTTTCCAAGCTTCTGCTCTTTCTCCACCTGCTTCCAGCTTTTGGTTAGAGATGATACCATGTTGGAGCATTTTCTGCGTCGTGTAGGCGAGGTCTTTTTCTTCAGAATCCTGTCAATCTCCTCAGCTGATGGCAAATACTCCTTCTTGATCTTCTCGGCCAGGCGCCCAACGTCAGCACCATTCTCCTGAACCCCGCTGGTCACCGTTTTCACCACTTGCTTGATGCAAGATGCAACTGGTGGCTCGGCTGAGGTCTTAACCACCTCAGTCTTGGATGCATCTTGAGTCTCGTTGTGAGAAGTTAATGTCTGAGCCACTCCAGAACTGACGACATGATTCTGAGACACTTCTTTTGGCCAGGTGTGTGTGGTCAGAGGCTTCTTTGGGACCCATGTCTTTTTGAGTTTCTCTGTTGGTCCTCCTAGAAAAGATGGAGCCCAGCCACTGGGTTCGCTGGCCTGCTTCTTCTCGTTTTCCTTCACCCATTGCTGCCATCCACTCGTCAGGCTGCACACCATGCTAACTGTGCGGAGCTTCTTGATGTTTTTGTTTGTGGATGTGTTCCTTTGGGAAGCTTGCCCCGGCTGTTTGTCAGACATAATTGCGAGTATTAACGTTTCAATTCAGGCACAATTAAGTCCAGCTAAGTGATCTTCCTTAACAGCTGCCAGATTATCTTGAACATATTCATCTCCTCTCTGCTCAAATCTTTGTTTTCTGTAACGTTTTCTCCATCTGTTGCTTCCTACCATCACACTCGCAGTGACAGCTCTAAAATGGGGAGAGCAAACCCTAACATGACGGTGGAAAGTATTTGAATCATCCCAGGCTACCAACCTGATCGTCTTTCCCTGACACTAGTCACCCCATACAGACTCATGTTTCATCACAGATTGTGGAGCTTGTTACTAGAGTTAAACAGGGTAGTAGACCAGGGGGTGCTAAGCTTAATTGCAAATAATGACCAAAAGACATACCACTAGATATGTACTCATAATATCCCTTTAACCCCTTCACCTTTTCTAGCTTCAGCGGATATTAAAAACAATATATAAGCAAAATGCAAAAATATGTATTAAAATCGCTCATGCAGTGCATTGTACTGCACTGTTTACAGATTGATGATAACAATCCCTTATCTTTAATCTTAAAATATAATAAAATAATAAAATACTTCAATATTTTAATAAAATAAGTAAAGTAAGTAAGCAAAAGTACAAAAGTATTTACATCAAAATGCACTTAAAGTAAAGAAAAAGTCTTGGGCAGAATGGTCACTTTCAGAGTGTTTTATTTTAAGAATATTACACTGTTACACGGCTTCGGTGGAGTGAATTTTAGTAAATATACTGTTGGGTACTGTTATCTTAATCAGTGCCTCATATTTAATAAGCTGATGTTTTCAATGGATAGTCTTAATATGAAATGTACTTCAACATAAGATCCAAGTATCATTTCTCTGATACATTGAGCACCAGTAGGATAAGGCTTTAAAACATTTTCCAGAGACTTTTGATTTGAATTAACTTCAAAAATTTACAGAATATCAGTGTAACTACTGCCGTCATTTATAAAATGATCTTAGAAAGAAAGAAATAACCAGTGTGAGGCTGAAGCAAGACTTTCTAAAAATTGAAGACACTGAGGTGTGAAACTTTTGGAGAAGAATATGATACCTGAAGGAGTCGAGGAGCTCCTGCTTACGCATGAAGGGGTTTAATCTTGCAATGCAGCTGGTAGTGAGATCACAATTCACCCACTCACTTAAGTATCCTGACATTAATAACATCAAGACTTTATGTACAGCAGAACTGAGCCTTGACAGCAGTGTTTAGTGCTGTTTTAAGAGAGCTGCACTTTATGAGAAGATACATGATGTAAGTTTATGTGTGTTGGTTTTTCATATTAGTGTTAGTGTAGAGGAGGGTTTTATAAATAGAACTTGGCACACGCAAATGCACACAGACATGAATTTGCAGCTGTTGGCAGTCTGTCATGGAGAGTGGAAGTGACTCATCGAGCATCAGCACAGGACGTCTTCTCAACCCAAGTCAGACAGATAATACATACGGGTTCTGGTCTGAGAGGAGGGTTAGTGCTCCACCACAAGGACAAACAGGCTCATTACAGTTTCCAGGGATAAAAACATAATACATGTTTGAAACTGCTTTTTGCAACTGATGTGTCTTTTGGTTACTCAGTGCTGTGTCAAAATTATCAAAACACACAGCAAACAGCCACTGACATCACAAAATCCCATCAGCTTCCTTTTTGTTTTTTTTAGTTACAATGAAAACCATGTAGCATAGTGTGTAACATTCCTTCGAACATGTCGTGCCAACATCTTCTGATTAAAAACCATGCTACAGGACTTCCTCATTTTTGAATGACACACAAGAATCCACTAACTTCTTCCGTTGTTGTAGCTGATCTTAGATGCAGTCGATAAATTGTCCTATCAAAAACGTCTCTGTTAGTTTTATATATATATCTATATATATATATATAATAGTTACAATAGTAACAATACATACAATACAATAGTTGTGTACTGTAGCTTTTATTTTATACTGTTCATTTTATATATTATATACATCACATAATACTTTATTATCTTATCTCCATTTGCACTGTTTACTGTTTGCAATGTGTACGCTGTAGCTACTGTTAATTTTATTTTATACTGTTAAATTTTATATACTTATATACATACTAATATTTATATCTTTCTTATTTTTAATTCTGTTTTAAGGTCAGGTTTTTAGGTTTCAACTATCTATCTATCTATCTATCTACCTCTTCTATCTATCTATCTATCTATCTATCTATCTATCTTTCTAATCTATCTATTATCTATCTATCTATCTATCTATCTATCTATCTACAAGTCACATTAAGGACACACAGTCCAACTGTCACATCTAAGACAACCCTCAAACCCTGCCTCCTTTGTGGAACACCACCTGGAGCTTTTACTAAATTTGCCTTTTCCAAGCATAGCTCGAATTGATTACAGGCTTCGAGGCTGCTTATATTTTTATGTGACAGCCAATCTCCAGGGACCTCGAGCTATTTTGATGGCAGCAAAAGCACGCAATCTGTGCCATCTCTTTTTAAGACGATGCCAAAAGGAGGATCATTCATCCTTCCTTCACAAAATAATGCCATAGCTAGAGACCTTTTGTTTATCAGAATTTAAGGAAAATAAAAATAGATTTTTTTTTGTTAAATAGATGCACAGTTTAGTATATTAAATCAATAAAAAGCTTCATTTGAGAGTGATTTTAAACAATTTAGGTTAAATGTGAGGGTAGTAGTCTACCAGTAGAGGTTGCTATGATTTCATTGTTGAAACTCTGGAACACCACTCAGCTCACTATTTAATGGTTTTACTCCAGACCCCCAGTATGAACATGTAAACCTTTCTACTAATAAATAAGCATCTAGTCACAAATAAGTGAATTGTATACTACCTTGTTAATCAATGTTTTTATTTATGTGGCTGCCTTTAAATCTTACCTTGTAGAGTGAAAAATAAAGGGTTTACGAGGATCTGAGATACACTTTCTGACACACTGACTAAGAAGCAGCTCAATATTAGCACAAAATACCAAACAAACAAATAAAAGTGGATGCATGGGTGCTAAAACTGTTGATAATGTCCATTAAAATGCTGATAAACATCTGCTGATTTCTATTAGGCTTTGCAAAGCAGTCATAACAGCCTGACAATGGAAGAATGTCTTGAAATGTTTTTTATTCTGTCTCAGCCTCTAAAAAGATACCTCAGCTGCAGGTGGGAAGCCAGTGCATTTCCTAAATTAGAGGCTATCCCGTGATTTGGGCCAAATAGACCAGGTGGTCGACCCCCACTTAAGCCAGAGGAGGTCCAAATCTTGAAAGAATGCACCTGCGTTTCCTGGTGCTTATCAACATCTGTTATTGCTGCTTTGTTTACCTTTCATTGCTTGTTCTGAGATTGTTTTATTTGGCCGGGCTTCTTATTGTGCATTAATTGTGCAGGAATGCATCTCTCAAGCTGCTTTTCTGACCTCTGTATGTGATGCTGGTTTGTGTTATGCTTGGGGTGATCTTGCACATAATTGGAATCCTGTTGTTGCAGTGATCAGATCAACATTCAAGCATATAAGAGATGTTCACAGCTCTCATCTTAATTGCAGCAGTATCTTAAATTCAGTCAGAGTTTATTTGCAGGGCCAGCAAAATAAGTAAAGGAAACAGCTGTAACCAGAAGAGGATGTTTTTAATTCTCATCTGCAGAACTTGATGAACTCAATTCATTTCCAGATTTATCAACGATAACATCTGTAACTGTCAAACATATGGCTCTTGACAAATCATCTGAAATAACACTAAACTACAGTTTTTAATCCAACTGTTTAGGGTTGTTGCCTTTCCACGATGTTGACCTCAACAAAGAAGCCAACCGCACAAATCTGTCCTGGCCCAGAAAAAGTAAACCACGATGTAATCCACTAATACTTCCTTCCGAATGAGGCTGTATGTTATTGTTTGGCTGTACCACTTGGCCCTGATGAATAAAGATGGGAAAGACAGTAAATTAAAGCTAGCTCAATACAGGGGTCAGTGAAGGCCGGCCATGAGGCTGAGGAGAAGCCTTGTCCCCTGCAGAGGGGCCGACAGGATGACAAAGTGCACCGCTGGGGCCAGACGATCTCATTTAGAGGCTGAGGGAGAACTGAAGGTCCCTGGTTTGGATTTATGTGACAAGTTTCATGACAATGTTTTACATGACGAAGAGGATGGAAGCAGAACAGGAAGGAATATGATAAAAGATAAAACAGGAGCTGTTTGAGTGACAAGTGTTTACAGTTGCAGAGGCTTTAAAAGGCACTGTTTTATGTTAGAGATGTTTTTTCTGTGTCACTGGTAACTGGTAAACGCTGAGTCTACAGCCATGCTAGCAGCTCTGTGAGGCTCCATGATGTTAACATGATCATACTAACATCCTCACAATGACAATGCTAACATGCAGAAGTATAGAGGGCATACTGTTTAGTGTGTCACCATGCTAATTGGTAAGGTTTAGTCGACTGTTAATGGACACCCCTTCCTCAGTGGGTAAAGATTAGAGATATTCCCAACATAGATTGTTTAGCATATCAATATATGTCCCCCTGTGTGAACACACTTGAAATGCTGTGTTGGGCCACATGAAGTGAAATATCACTAAAAATGTGTTAAAATTAACTTATTGTGGGCTGAGGCCTTCTTGTGTGGAGTTTGCATGTTCTTCCCATGTCTGTGTGGGTTTTCTCCGGGTGCTCCAGTTTCCCCCACCATCAAAACATGTATGTTAGGTTCATTTCTCCAGTCAGTGCTCTTGCCCGAGGTACTGGCTCAGATCTAGAGTTGATTGTACGGCGACTGCCCCCTTCTCCTGGTACTTAGGATGGGTTAAATCAGAGGACTAATTTCATTATGCATTTCACTATATATGATTGTATATGTGATTTACAGTTTTTTCAATTTTTTCATTTTCATAATTCAAAATATATTGAAAGGACACAGAAAACAATATCACGGAGAACAGAAAGGTTAGTTTTTCATAGGAAGACTTTCTTTGTTAAAAGTTTATTGATCAGGTTGATTTTCAGAGTATTCTGCATGAATTGCATGATGGTGCCTCTGTATTTTTGTGATGTTGAATATATAGTAAAACATGGGCCTTTTTTTTGAGACATGGTTTTGTTACCAGAGATCTTATAAAAACATGTTACTTTTGGCTTGCGTCGCATAAGTCAGCAATCACACCTCATTACTTCTGACCATTGCAGCCTCTGGAGCAATAATTGGCCACACACTTCTCACTTGTTATATCAACTTTTATAATGTTAAGGACACTGAGCTTTTTTTGCTAATTTTCCAACATGCCACAAGAATAGGCAAAAAATAACACTCCATTTTACAAATTAAGCAAGAAAACAAATGCTCTTTAGCTTGAACCTCTTAGGATGTCTTAACATGATTCAAAGTCTCTCTGGGATCCATGTTGGCTGATTTGGTCTAACATCTGAAAAGAAACAGCAAAAACGCTTCTTAACTCTTTCATCCAACTATGAAGCCTTTATTATCAGTTTGAATGGCTCCTGCCAGGGCCTGCAGCCTTTCTTTGCTTCACACCCTCTGTGTACACCAAGTGTCATTCTTACTCCCACAGCCCATCAATCATAACAAGCTTCTTTTCAGTTTTCTAGATGAGGGAGTCCCTCACCTCAACTCACGTTTACATTCTTATTCTACTCCATTTATTTTCCTAAGCCACATGACTTTCTACTCAAAACCAGGATTACACAATCCCAAATCACTTTATAATTACAAACATAATACATTTTAAGGTTTTTCTCTCTACAATTGGACAGAATATATTTTACTTTGATAACCAATATTTGCAAATGGCAACCATTCTAGTTATAAAACTCAAGAAACTAGTTGATAAATGTTGGCCTTTGGTAGTCTTGAGAAATCAGAGATCAGATAACTTGTTGCTGTAGATTTTAAAATATATACTGGAAATGGATATTGCCTCAGTTTGATACAAAACTTTGCACATTTGAAGAGAAACAGTGATTAATTCAGTGTACAACATTGCAGAGACCGCACAGATGGTTTGGGATTATAGCGTACACTGCAGTGAAAAAGAAAATGACTTGGAGTTGCATGCGTTGATGTCAGCATTTACTGTAATGATTTCAGGTTGACTTACATTTGGTGAATTTATGAGTTCATTCCCCAGTGCCCTTTTAGCACCATACTCTGTGTTGTGGCAGCTTTTTAAAATGTTTGCTTTATCGCTGGTTGTTTCCATGCCAGTTGTGTGGCTCAACAAATGAGTTCTTCAGTTGCTGGTCTTGGTGATTGCCCCGCAACATGAAAACATTTAAGACAAGTCATTAATTTACACACAGGCAAAATGATGTCATTGTCACAAAAGGCCAAAACAAAGGGCTTTATTTTCCCCTCACAATGCTGTGCAACTCACAGGTATGCAGCGAGCTGAACTCACTTCCACTAAAGGTTGAAGACAGCTGTTGGCCTTTTGAGTCTGTACTGTAAGCAATTGTGAAACGTACAAATATTTTCATATCAAACTTAAGGGTTCATTTCAACCAAACCATCTTTGGTGATTGTTGAAAAAACTGTGGAAAGACTGACATAGATCATTTTGGTGAGTTTAATTTTGTTTCTGTTCCATTGTTTTGGTCTGAGATTCTGGTGCTCGAGTGCAACATCCAGTGCAAGTGAATTTCATATTCATAACCTATTTATAAGTATAAAATAGATATGTATACAATTCTGGCTTTCACAAAGCCTGACAAGGACCTTTTTAGTCTGCAGTGTTAATGACAATCTAGTTTTACTAAGACATCAACAGATATGTACTGAATGGATGAATGGATCAACAGGCATCAACAGCTGTTTAAGTGAATTTCATCTGCTGACATCACTGAATGAGTGTACAAAAATGGATACAGCTACAACAATGCAACTGTCCTGGTGTGACTGATCATGTCCTAATGCAAATTGTTTTTCTCACATCTTTGATATAGTGAATGCAATGCCTAACTGACCACAGACATCAGGTTTAGCTGGCAGAAAACTCTCGACTGATAATGACCAATACAAATGAAGAAAAATTGACACTGAGGTGTCATCTGTGTTTTTATTTCAGTTAAGCTTAAATATTTGCCCCTGATATTATTTAGAACTTAATTATTCTATATTTGAGTAGATTACTTAACTATTTACATCTTCCCTTATTTCTACACCAAAGCTACACAATGAAGTACTCCATCCAGTCCACTAGTCTTGCTGCTTTTGTCTGGTTCTCTGTCTCTTCATCCTGGGATGGCGCATTCTGGTCACTGCAATGGATCCTTTTTTTTTGTAACATAATAATGGTTTGTGCAGGTGGATATCTCTTTGTACTGGATTAATGATACCCAAATTAAAGGCACATTCTAAAGGCATTTTATGATAAAATCTAATAATGAGGATGATGTTCTTTTTTTACTTAAACTTCCTTACTCTACATACCCTCAGTGTTTTCATTCATTTCCATGTGTGCAGGTGGTTTCTTAGAGGATTCAAAGGCCCTGAAGGTTCATACTGCAGGTACTGTACTATGTACTATCTGATCTGGTCAGGGTCCAACACTGTCTGTCTGCATGCAGCTCGGACCCCCACCTTCCTCATGGAGTCCCATCGCCTCGCCAGACCTCAGCTCCTCCTCAGTTAACAGGAAAGGATCCATTTTCAGCAGAGCAACCTGGCTGCGGATGTAGGGATTGGGTGTGCGTACGTGCGTATGTGGAGATGACAAGTGAAACGCCACTTTGCTTGACATCTTGAATGTCCAGTGGAGACAAAACTTCCCCTAGTTTAGAAGTGGTTCTCAGTACCGCCTGTCCTCACACCAACAAAGGACAACGCTTAAGACCCACATAGGTGTTTGCCAGCTTGTGCGGACTCTCTTCACACTCCACCGCTTTAGACTCTCTATAGAACACATTCCAGCGAGGGTGTCGGGTCAGTGCAGGCGCTAAAGGACACACCGTGGTTTTCAGACTGCAGTAATTTGTTTAACCTCTGATTAGGCCCAGGAATGTCAACTATGAGGAGACACTACAGGACCCGACAGCATCGTTTGACACTTTGGCAATCTGTCATTGCTACTTGCATGCAAGCAAGCGAGTCACCACTCGAGACAATAGCCACTCCACTGCCTGAGCAGAGAGAGTTTTAATGTTTACACCATCTGGTTTTGTCCTGAAAAAGCATGTCGGAAGAAAGCATGTCTGCCTATCTATGGGATTTATCTCATGTCTTTCTGTGCTGTGCAATAAGCTTCCTTTGCATGACATACAGTGTAGGATTTGTATCGGGAGATTTAAACTGATGTTGAAGATATTATCATGAAAGGAAGCTTTTTAAAGTTAAAGCAAGTCTGCTTAAAGAAAGATGTAATGAAATTTTGGAACCCTGACTTTAAACCTATGTCTATCATCACATCAATTTGGCACAAAAAGTGCAGCCTAAACGCAGATTGAAAACATTAGTGCATCACATGCTCTTTTATTTAATCTAGCAACACAACACTGACCACATGTTACAAAAGATGTTTAAATAAATCTGCAAATCTGGAATTTAATGAGGTAAAAGCAGAGTTATCAAAGGCACATTTCTCCAGGGTTATTATCTTAACTTCCATGTTTTATGCTCAACTTCAAAACACCATTGTACTTCTGGCAGAGTAATAACAGAAAAAAGAAGAGCTTTCCTCAGGAAAGCTGCTTTACGTACACACACATTAAATTATACAATTTTAGTATGCTAATAAACATGTCAATTGTAGTTTTACAAGTTCCAGATACACTTTATCTTCTTGCCACATGTACCTTTAGTAAATACCCTACAGTAGATTCTGTTGTTATAAGCTGGAAGTTATGAAATATGTGTTCACACGGATCACTTGTTGGGATCATTAATTTCATGCTTCGTATCCAACTCAAGCTCCTTTTTTTTCCCCAAACTGCATTGATGAGAAACAGAACCCGGCCGGATTCTGAGACTGTGTCATATTGATGTCTGTGAAAAATATTTTGAATGCAACTTGTCTTAATGATCTGCTCTTTGTCTTAAGGTAAGAGGTTAGAATATGATAAAACTGACAGGACGGGTCTTGAAGTTGTTTTATAATGTCCTCTACATTTAGAAGTAAGATTCAGCAATATGAACTTCTTTGTGAGTCTTGTACATGTGGGACACCAGCTTAATATAAGCATTTACATCTTTTGCAAATATGGAAGGATCATAATGTGGTACTTCATCATTATACTCAGGAATACACTGCATATCTATTTATTTTTAAAATACATATTACTTGTTGTGTATGCTGCGTGCATTTTCTTCCCCCAGGCGCACATAGCGGTAATTGTTATATATCACTAATTACATGAATCTGAATTAATGTCCTTGTTTTTCATATTGAGCAGAGGTAAGGTGATCACTCACAATCTGAACCTTGGCAGGTATTAGTCGTTTCTCAGCCAATGACGAAGGCAAGTGGATCTCAGTCCAGAATCTAATCCAATAATAACCTCACATCTTGAACTCTAAAAATAATCACACTCGGTCAAGACAGCCAGCGTGTAATTACCAGCTAATACTGCAAGTGACCCTCATAACTATTATCAATCACTTGCATTTCAAGGTCACCTTAAAACTGAGCGTGTGTGTTTCATACATAATGCAGATAGAAATTCAGTATACACTGTACAGTACAAAAGACAATTTCATCTCACTTCGGATATTGTATACAGTTGGGATAACAAAAATAATACTAAAAACACAATATATCACAATCGTAATATTTATGGGCTGCGTTCTGTGAGCAACATAAAAAAAAAGCCATGTCTCTCATTTGTCTCCTCAGAACGTTTCAGATCAGTTCTGTCCTGCAGTTTAAGAGTCAGTGGCTTTCCATTCATAGGAGTTAAATTTCTCTGTATTTTACATTACAACACAGGTCCCCAGGAAATTTGTGGATGGAAATCATGCTTGAATTGTCATACAAGCTTAAAATGCGCACCGATTCCAGGTGTGAGATAACACAAAAATGAGTTCAGGTGAATCGTGTCTTGCTCTGTCTTCTTCCCCATGACTGCTTTTCAGTTCATTGAGGGGAAAGGTTATGAGGCAACAGTAGCAAAGCAAGAGCAGTTGATCTGGGGAAGAACCAGATTGAATAAAAGATTCATTGGAAGACTCCCACCCTTGGCCTGCGAAATGAGATGAGACAAGAGGATAAAATAGCAAGCGTCCCTCTAATGTGCTACATAGCCGTTTGTAGGTTAAAAAGTTTGCAAGTTCACAGGACTAGGAGAAGTCCAGGGGGCGGATCATCATGACAGTGGCTCTTAGCGAGTAGCTGGGGCCCTTGAAGTAGTGCCACTTGATACCGTTCAACTTCCCTATGTGTTGTCCTTGGGTGAAGTACATGCCATTAAGGTTGGATGGGCCACAGGCATCAAACCACCAACCTGAGTAGAGAATAAGGACAAGGAAATATAAATTATTCAGAGTAAGATGACATAGTCCAATTAAAGCGCTAAGCAACTCTATTGTATTTCGCCAAAATATAAATAACATCGCCTTTTAGCAGTTTTGATATTCCTGTTTTGTCAGGGTAGTCACCTCAATCATAAGTTTTGTCCTCGGCAAAGGTTGAAAGTTTCCATGGCCATGCCAATGGTTCAGACACCATTTCACTGCTATCTACTCAATGTGTTACTGTCACTGGGTTCACTGGCATGCCAGTACCTGTTGCTGAACACTTTTGGTACCTCTTTCTATTTAAAGCAAAGAGTGCATGTGCATGAGCTTGCACACGCACAACAACGCTGTGAATGGCATGGGAAACTTTTATTCTACTCGCAAGGTGACACATTTCAACATTTCCCTTAGGTACATCTGGTATTTAGAGAAAAGGTAGATGTGCTTAGACTTGCAAGATGTTTTTTTTATATTATTATATTATTATAACATAAAAAAACTACATTTCCATCCAAATGTATTGCAAAGTTGAACAGAATTGGCAAAAGAAAATGTGAAAGAATGGTTGTTTTCATTCACTACTGTTATGAAATTATTAGGAGGTGGTTCATTGAGATAAGAAGTAGTTGGTGCCAATTCTCCTGTCGCAAAACCAGAAGAGGCGCCAGACAAACCTCAAACAGTGAGAAACAACACTGACAACACAATGAATATATGACATTTCTGTTTGTTTCATGTATTAATGCGAGGAAGGTCAGATCAGATCTATGTGGAGCAATCATGGATGTATTATAGAGCCATGGGAGCGATGAGGAAACTGTTGTAGTGGAAACAGCTTATCAGTCATGTGAGTTAAATGTTCGCTACTTAATCAGTGTTTCCAGCTCCCATTAAGTACATTACCTCTTCTAGGAAAGAGAAAACCAAAAACCACCAAAAGCGACTGTAAAAACCTTTTTGCGAAACTTTTTTATCAGTCAGTATCGAAAGGCAGCCATCTCTCATTATGGTTGATGGTATGAAAGGTGCCATACAAATAATGTGGTGTTATGGTTATTGTTATTATTATTGATGACACAGATTTAGTAATGTGTCATTCAAGTCTTGTATCTGAACTAGTAAACACGCCCATGCTGATACAGTCAGATATAGAACATATGCGAGGAATGGCATGTGTCACTCACACAGTGACACATGGCAGTTCTTCTCTTCTCTCCTGTCAGACCTGAATACCACTGCGGCCTACAGTATGACATTTCACAAGACCTGTCAGTAATCAGGAGTAATGTTCTGCTCTTGTTGCTGGCATGCATCACACATATAAATTTCACATTGATTGCTCCTTCATCATAAGACACATACACAACATAGCATGGAAACTGACCTCCTTACATTTCCAAAACTGCATATAATTTCAGGATGCTGGCGCCAGTGGGAATCAAATATGAAATTGCACTTGCTCCGCTCTAATTTTTGACATGAGGAATTGTCCTCAAGCTGGGGAGCTCTTAAAGGAGGCCTGGCACCTGACAACTTTATAGGTGGACCAATCTGTGTGATGTGAAAGAGGTCTTATCACCCAATTCTTTCAGCTCTACAGGGCATTTTAGCATCTTTTAGCATATTGTTTTGGTTTTAGGGCCTGCAACTTAACTGTTTTGGTTCGCTCTTACCGCTTTTATTGGTTTCCAACAACAGCAGCTGGCTGTTTTAAGCAAGGTAACTTTAAAAATCATACTGTACCTTACCTGGCCAACAGGTTAGCAACTAGCTGATGGACACAGTCGAGCATTTATCAGCTAAAGAGCCACATATTTTCCACTAAGCCACTTAATCACAAAAAAAGAGCTAGGATCTCCACTACATAGTTACGAAATAGTTTACACCAGCCACAGTTAAGCAGACATTAGACAGTACCTGTAGTACAAACATAGTAGTAATGTCCTGTACTTGATAGTATGATGGGATGGTGTTTTGGTCACAAATTGTGTGTTGTGTAACCTGCTGTTTTATTTTATTGAGACAGTGTTTTTCCCCTTAAACCACAAAGCAGAACACAGCGCATATGTCCTACTTACCATCTTTAACTTGTTGATAAACCACAGACCACACAACTGTCACACACATAAACATTCAGTGTGCACAGCAGCAATCCTTTGGAATTTATGACCAGTATACTCTCTGTTTTCAGGCTGGAGATTTTTACTGACTTGTAAAAACAGTGGGGATGTCTTCTTTAGAAAAAAGTCTCAGCTAGTGCAATTTGTTCTCATGATAGAGGAACCCCCCCTACCTCCTACTGTCAGTGCCTTATCCCTCCTGTATGTTCTGGTGCTGGGTAAATATATACATTGCAGTGCGTGTGTGTCCGCATGTTATCCTCCTCTGTATTCTTGACACGGCATGCTGCAGTTGTCCTCATAAATGTAGCAGAGAAGTATTTTCCTCTTGTATATTCCAGACACTTACATCATTTGATGTCGGCACTGCTCTTATAAATGCAGGGAATAAATCAAATGATATACTGTATATACTATAGCTAGCACAGTGCTGGGTTCGGACCAGCCTTGTCTCAGGCTACATGTTGTCATGCCTCTCCTTTGTGGCTGGCCACAGGCAGGCTATGAATCAAGCAGAGTAGGGGTGTTGATCAGTGATCAGATGCCAGTTCCCTTTAACCCACTGCATCTACAATGACCTAAGAGGTAATGGTGATCTTAAATCTGCACTTAGAAATGCTTGATTAGTACCAGGTCAGGACTCCACATCAGTAGAGCTGCCATGAGGTGACAGCGAGGGTCACTGGGCTCCACTTACACAGCAGGAGAAGCAGAGTCATTTTAAATCTCTCAGACACTTTGTGCCGCGCCCAGGGATTTTTATAATGTGCTCGTTTCCAACCACGGTGCAACTGGGAAGGGATGCAGAATATAGCCTAATAGGTGCAGATAGATGTATAATTGGCCACGTTAGCATATTGCATGTCTTGCGATCATAATGACCTGAACTAATGACTGAGCAATGCACATTGTGGGGTTGGTCATAAAGCCAATCAGAGAAAATAGCTTTTGGAATGGTGACATCATGCCGTTGTTTTCTCATAAAAACAATTCTGTTGTACCATATAGACATAAATGCTTATAGGATTCAAATTTATTATGTTATAGTGTTTTTCTGGTAGTTTTACCCATGATTTCTATTGGTAATAATAAACATTGTACTCCCCAGTTAATTGCTGAGAGCAACAAGACATTGTTGAAAAGAAGTCTGATGGTGCAAGAAACACAAAAACTTTCAGGCAGGTTTTGAACAAATCTTTTGAGTTAGCTAAGCTTATTTGGAAGAGAGTTAAATTTGAACTTAAAACTGCTCTAATTGGTATTTTTATATAAATGGATCAGATGACTATATGCGATGGTAAAGCTGTCGTTTGTTATGACACAAAATACAGAAAATATCCCCTATCTCTGTAGACCCATCAGCTCTGTGGAACCTTTTTAGCATCTTTTAGCTCATTGTTTTGTCTTTACTGCCTGTAACTTTACTGTTCTGTCATCAGTGTTGTTTCCTTCAGCAGTAGTCAGCCGTTTTCAGCAAAACAAACTCTGTTAAACTGACTATACTCTAGCTAACCAGCACCAAACAGCAGGCAGACAAAGTTATCAACGTGCTGGTGAACATAGTGGAAGATTTTGCAGCTAAAGAGCAGCTAAATATTTTCCTAAAGAGCTGCTGGAGACCAAAAACAGATATAAAAGTAAGGTGAATATTAGACTTGTATTTAACACGTTTCCAGCGATGCTGTTACACATTAATGTTAATGGTGTGTCTGCTGTATGTGTAAATAAGCAACTGTCTGCTAAGACATTTGCCAGCTTTATACGGTATGTCAATGTTGTGTCTACAACTTGCTGTGCTTCCCCTAAGTCCTCCACTCCTGCCAAAAAAAAGAGGATTATTCTGTACAAAGGTGATATGGTGATGTAAGTCTCCTGTTTTCCCAGGAATGTATGATTATCCTCGCTGTAATGCACTGTTTTGCTACACTTACCACCAGTGAGCATGAGGGCACACTTGCACATGCAGTTGTCATTGTCCATGTCCTTAGTGCTGAAATCTGCTCCGTGGATTACTAGACTGCTCTGTCTGCCTGCAGTCCCACTGTGGCTTTTCAGGAACAGTCTGAAAGACATCAGGAGAAGGAAAAGGAGGGAGTAAGGATATGAAAACAGATCAGGGGGAGGAAGAGGGAGAGGAGTACGGTGGAGTGAGCAGTACAAGCAATAAAGACAGCAAGAAGACATAACATCTCCTGAGAGATATTTATTTTTTGTTGTGATTGAGTACATGTTGAACACCTGGAACAACACTAACAGGGTGATGAATATAAAATAAAGAAGGAAATAAAGAGAATGCATATGAAAGAAATGCAGATGAAGGAAAGAGCATGTAACGTAAGGAATGTCCGAGACTCACATTTCCATCTGCAGGGCCACAGTATATTAATTTACACCACAACAATTGACTAAATCAACAGCTATAAACAGTAAAAGAGCAATAAAGAAGTTGTTTAACCTATCATACATCCAGTGCTGAACGGGGGTATGCAAAATATCTCCTTGTCTTGTCATCTTGTTTTTAAGAACAGTTCCTACTGTATCTTCCTCTTTCCACGATGTTACATTCCTTTCATCAATCTTCACATTTTGCTGCCAGTCCATATATATTTTCTGCCAGGCCCAATTTAAAGGATTTTATATTCGAAAAGCATGTTAGAAGGCTGCAGGCATGCAATAACTGTACAGTGCATACTGTGCAGATTCTACAATATCTCTCTCAGCGTCTGTTCAACCCAAACTGAACATCTTGAATGTGTAACAACCATCACTGTTAGAAGACACAGAGATCTAGGTTGCTAAAAAGAGACTGAAGCTGAGAGAAAGGGGACAGCATACAGGAGAAAACTCCCTTTAATATTGTAGAGGGGAGCTAGATGCAAAAGGATGAGATTTGTTGTTTGTGTTAATTAAGTTGGTGTAAATATAGCTGGTTATGCTTCCCATTTTTTTCTTCTACTCCAAAAAAGTCACTTCTGTGCATAATTTTCTGTGCACATGAAGATGTTCTCTGTTTATCTACTCTGAAAATATATGCCATAGATTAAACATGAAAGCCCACACCACAATAAATATACTCATACCATAGAAGAGGCTATGAGACATTATTAACATTTCTTGCCATCTTTTCACTCTGACTTTTATTACAACAATCAGATTGTCTATAGGGGTGATAGGCCATCAAACCCAAGTGAGTTTCTTCACACACTTAGTACTCAACACACATATTGAAAACTAATATCCAACTTGGAAGCATATTTCTTCAGGGTGTGTCTAACTGTGAACTCACTTGTGGTGTGAACGGGAATAGCTGCATGCAGATCTGACAATTCCTTCATCCCTTTGACAGCTCTGCCATTAACATCAGAACACGCCTTCCCCTAATCTCCTGCATCGCACATTTTTCCTCTTGATGTCTTTGTTTCTCTCACGGTCTCTCGGTTTTACTTTCTCCCAACAGAAGAGATTGCACATCCAAAGAGCATGCAGCACTGCAGCACCACGCCAATGAGGTCTCTGTTATTAAGTATGGTTCACTCTCACTGAAAGCAATTTCCTGAGTTCATTTCTGGACAACAGGGGACCATGGGTGTGTAGTGAACCTTGCACCTAGTTCGGGTTTTCCGATGAGAAAGTAACAAACACAAATGTTTTCAGGAGATGTTGAACACTCTGTATGCACCTCCAACCTTTCTGAAGCTCTGAGGCATCAGGTTGAATATCTCAAAGAAAGAGACTGGTAGACTCCCCAGGAAAGAAAGTCATTTAACGTGAAAGACTTCTGTATTTGGACAGCTGTGTAAATGGCTGCAGTGTGAGTGCAAGTCACAGTGGGGAATTCAGAAAGCCACTAAACCAATACATGTAATCCTACAATAGAAGGGTGAGTCATGTGTCTAATCAGTGGCACCAAATGGCCACTGAACATGGCAAGTTTGGATAAGAACTTATATATACGCAAGTATATTATAAGCACTTGCGTGGGTGTAAAAGTGTGCAAGTTCCTGTTAACAGTAAGTCATCTGTGACACATGCTGTATTAACCGTTGTTTACAGGGCAACAAATGTCTTTGGAGATATTTTCCAGTTAATAGTAAACTCATATCTCAAAGCACTGCTTCACTTAAGGGTAGCTTGACTTCTATCAGCTAATTCCTGATTCTGAGGAATAAAACATGCGGTGTCAAGGATGAGGTCTGCTACTGCTCTGATAAAGAACAGACTTTCTGCACATCTACTTTGCAAAGCTCTTACGTTCTCTGTTGCGCTGACGAATCACCAAGGCACATCATCAAGAGGGATTTTCAGCATGACACTTTGACAAGCTGCTTTAAATAGTCTGCGGCTGTGTTTACCGGGTTTGCTGCATATTTACCAGACCAACAATCCCTAACTCAACTGACATCTGCAGTTTTTCCTGTCAGGATCCATTATGCACTCAAATGATAAGTGGGATAATCCTAAAATGGGCCAAGTAATGAACTCAAGAGGAAGAGATGCTTTTCCTGAGGCCTGTTTCTAAGAATGAGAGAGAAAAAGACAGAGAGACGGCGTCTAGTAATTCATGTTAATGAAATGTATCAGGGGACAGACATCTGCTCAGTCAGATCGTGAACTTCACAGGCAATGCATGCTAATCTGATTGTTCTCGTTAAAGTAACTTAGTAATGCGATTGGTCAAGGCTCATTAGTAACCAAAATATTTAACTGTGAGGGGAATAATTTGGTTCACACCTCTGGGGAGGTCTTTTAATATCCACTGGGGATGCTGGCTTGTTTGTGATCTTTTGACTTATTAAGAAAGTCAGAGTAGCGTCAGTGCGTGCCATCCTTAAGGAGTCATTTCACCAAAATTACAAAAAACATATTTTTTTCCTGTTTTTATCTTGTCATGCAGCTTTTGGTTTTATTTCCAAAGCTCTGAGCTCAGACCTGTGCTGATCACAAATACCACCCAAGTCAACTTAAACTTTCTCTGGAGTCTTAAAAGAAGGACAGCTAACACTAGCTAGTCCCTATTCATCTGTATAATTTAAAATCAACACAACACCCAGGAGAAGGAGCTTGACAGTGGCACACAGCAGGTGTTGAAATAACATGAATAAAAAACATCTTGTAGGACTCACTTATAACTTGAGCTAGGCTAAGTAGCTGCCATTTTCCTATGGAAACAGCATGATGGATCATACAAAAAGTTGTAAAGGGACAGGCTGCTGAAATTGCTAACTGCTCACCAATGCTATGTGGAAAAATGAGAATAAAATGCCTAGTATCAACATTCATAAACTATACAGGGATATGATGTGGTCCGGGGAGTAGTGCACCACAGAAACTGTCAATGCGTCTCCTAGCAACGCCGTCAATCAGATGACATCCAACCACTGCCATGGAAAATGCCACCCATTTGAAAAATGGAAAAATGGAAAAACTTCAGTTTGAGTTTAATAGAGTTAAGGCACGTTTTTAAAGAAACATTGTCTAGGTTGAGTATGATAATAGCAAAGAGCTTGCTTCGATAGAAAATCCCAATTAAAACTGTACACAACAGGGTCTGACACCAATCCTTAGTAACATTGTTTCTGAAAATATTTTTTAACAGATAATCCAATGTTTTTAGCGCCAGAAATGAAATTCCACACATCCATACTGGTGGTTACAAATGTCTCCAATGGAGATAAATCAAAACTTAGGCAAATAAAAACCCTAACTATTTGCATGACTAAATACCACTAGGCATTAATGCTTTTTTTTGGTGTGTGATTTGGGTGAACTGACGCCTTAAAGCTTTGATGCAGATTCAGTTTCAGTCATAATGAGTCTATGCTCTGGAGTATTACAGCTGCAAACTGTGTACGTGGGAAATGAGTTGTAGCAGGGTCAGGTGAGGAATCAGATGACTGTGATATGTTTTGTGAGAACTCTTCCAAGTAAAACTAGGTTTCAATGAATGGCATTTTATCACACTGCATCTTAAAAACATGTACACTGTTCCTACAAGGACACTTTTTAGTTGAAAAACATACCATTAGTTTTGTATGTTTAAGCTTGCTCATAAAATATGAACATAGCATCACTTATCTACCATGAATATTACAAATAATAAACAATTAATTGAAATATTAAAAAAGATAACATAAAAACATCCGTCATATTTGTTGAGATGTACTAATGTACATGTACTCAAATGAAAGTGGTTGCAGCTATTTTTTTTTAAATGTCACTTTTCATCTTTTGACTGACACAGCCAAGCTTAGCCTGCTCGTTTTCTTTGATCTCCATACATGAAGGCAACAACCCAGGATCCACTGCATGCTGTGACACACCTGGCAATCATTAGCCTCCTGAACTGCAGTCTGATTGGCCCATTGCAGAGGTTAATCACCCTGACCAATAGTTTGCTTCCTACTGCAAGGCTGGAGAGGTGTCTGGCTGGCTGAGACCCGCTTGGCTGCTCTTTTGCCACTGGGTGTCATATAGCTCCATTGAGACATATATACACTTATATAAATAGTATGTATAGATATATAGGTTTGCTATAGTGCATATAGATTGATAGTACAATGTTTTCTGCAGTAAAGTTACTGCCTAAGGTATGTGTAGTAAGTTTCCAAATACACTGATCAGCACAATCTTCTTTCTTGTTTCATGTCCATTAAAAGGACAATTTACTACAGGAAAAAGAGCTGGTTATATTGCGGTGTTAAAATGGAAATCTTCAAATCGCACGCTTTTAGTTTTAATGAAGAAAGATCATTGAGGTTATTGTTTTTGTGCCACTTTCCTTTGAAAACCACTGGAACTTAGTCCAGTTAGGCATGAAAATTAATTCTTCACTTTTGGCACAACAATTTCAACCCAAGGCTTATTAGCTTTTGCTGCTGCTTTCAACTGCATTGCAGGAATCTCCATCTGCAGATGGAGTTTGTTTTGTTGCCATGGAGATGAATCTGTTGATATGTGAGTTCAGTAGCTATGACTGCATCCAAATCACTTTTAGGCAAGAGATCCATCTCCATGACAACTAAGGACTCCATTCACTGATGAAGACCATGTGGTGTTGTTGAA